CCCCGCCCCGTGAGGGCCGGGCCCCTCTGAGCTGCCCCCACCCATCCCGCAGGACCCTCTACAGGACTGCCTACCGCCGCAGCCCTGGACCGGCCCCCACCCGGCCTCGCTATGCTTGCTGCCCTGGCTGGAAGAGGACCAGCGGGCTGCCCGGGTCCTGTGGAGCAGGTACGGGCCCCTAGCGCCTGGGGTCAGTTAAAGTAGAACCCAGCGAGGGAGCGATCCATCCCGCTCTCCAGACCCGGGGCCAAGCACCAGCTGCTTGTCTCTCAAAACCTGAGTGAGCATCTCCGGCACGGCGCCCCTTCCCTGGCTGCCACCCCTGCGGGGCCCTGGGGACCCTCCTGAGTTGGTGACAGGCCTCCCCACCCACCCACAGCAATATGCCAGCCACCATGCCAGAACGGAGGGAGCTGTGTCCAGCCCGGCCGCTGTCACTGCCCTGCAGGATGGCAGGGCGACACCTGCCAGACAGGTGAGGCTGGTTCCACCCTCCCAGAGGGGAGGGGGCCTCCGGGCACCTCCTGTGTGTCCTGGGTAGCCCACTGATGGGTAGGTCTCGAGGGGGCTCAGGGTGGGCGCCCCTGCCTGACAACCCTTTCCCACAGACGTGGATGAGTGCAGGGCTGGAGGGGGCGGCTGTCCCCAGCGCTGTGTCAATACTGCGGGCAGTTACTGGTGTCAGTGCCGGGAGGGGCACAGCCCATCTGTGGACGGGGCACTCTGCCTGCCCGGGAGAGGGGCCCCCAAGGTGGCCCCAAACCCCGCGACAGGTAAACCCCGCTTGCTCCCCTTGCTGATGCGCCTGGGGGTGGGCAGGGAGGGCCCGGGGTGGGGGGTGGTGATGGGCACACTGGAGGGTGGATGGGTGGTGGCTTCCCACGGGGACCGCGGGGAGGGCCTCAACTCAGCCCAGAGTAGAAGGCGGCGCCCATGTGTCCCTGCCCGGGCAGCCTGGAGACACAGCACCTCCCTCCGCTGGTGACGGGACATTATTACTTTTGGTACGCGCTGTGACACTTCAAACTCGTACCGTGAGTAATAATGCGCCGTTGGCAGCCCGGCACCAAGAGCGAGAGCGCAGCACGGACCTCAACCCGGACCCCCTCAGCATGACGGGCACCCCAGCACTGAGGGGTGGGCGGGGTGAGGCTGCGTCTGCCCAGAGCCACCTTCCGGACCAGGAGGGTGGCCTTGGTGGACGGCCAGGACCCAAGGTTGGGGAAGGACACTCCACGACAGCTGGGGCGGGAACCCTGGGGCTGCGCCCCACACCCGCAGCAAAGGCTGGAGGCCCCGCGTCGGGATGCGGGGCCAGCCCGTGGTGGGGTGCAGGGTGGGGGGCCGGGCCCTGACTCGGCACCTGGCTTCCGCAGGAGTGGGCAGTGAGGTGGTGGAGGAGGTGCAGAGGCTTCAGTCGAGGGTGGACGTGCTGGAGCAGGTGAGGGCTGGGCACCCGGGGGCCTCGGCGTGGGGGCAGGGCTCAGCGGGGGAACCCTGGGCGGGAGGCTTTCCGGATGCTGACGGCCTAGGGTGCCCTTGGCCTGGGCGCCACGCCGGGCAGGGGCAGCGCACGGTGTCTGGGATGCCAGGACGGCAGGGGGCGGGGCCACACAGAGAGCGAGGACTCGGCCCAGCCCACCCCCGCCTTTGTCCCTGCAGGGACAGAGTGCCCCTGCGGCCTTTCCACAGGGTCCTTGGCCCGAGACCCCTCAGCAGCCCCTGCCCACCCCTTCTAGCTCCTCCAACCAGGGGTCCCAGGCCTCAGGGACCATTGGCCAGGCTGGCCTGTGTGACGTCCGTCTGTGCCGCCCCCTGCCCCGGTCTCCTGGCGCAGAAGCTCACTCTGGTGGACGTCCAGGGCCCTGCAGCTAGAACTGAGTCTGGGGGTTGGCGGTGCCCTTGCTGGCCACCCAATTGTCCTTAAGTCCTTGTGGAACAGAGAGGGTGAGGGGCTGGCCCAGGGTCACACAGGCCCTTCTCCACCGGGCCCTTCGCCTGCCCCGCAGAAGCTGCAGCTCGTGCTGACCCCGCTTCACAGCCTGGCCTCGCGGGCCCTGGAGCACGGGCTCCCGGACCCCGGCAGCCTCCTGGCCCACTCCCTCCAGCAGCTGGACCGCATTGACTCTCTGAGCGAGCAGATCTCCTTCCTGGAGGAGCAGCTGGGTTCCTGTGAGTGCCGTGGTCCCTGTGACCTCCCCACCCACAGAGTCCCCCTCTGGTAGCCTAGGGACCCCCGAGGCTGGGGCCGGCTCCTGCCCAGAGAGGCCAGAGGGTGCAGGCAGGGGTAGCCACAGGCCGAGTGGGCAGATCTGGCTGGGCCGGAGGCTGGTGGGGAACGGAAACTGCTGACCCCAGCCCCACCCCTTCCACCCACAGGTTCTTGCAAGAAGGAGGTGTGACAGTCCGACCCAAGTCCCCGCTCTGGCCACCAAGAGTCGGAGGACACCGGCCCCACCCCGCCCTGCCCTGGGCCCTGCCCCGCCACCTCCCCAGGAAGCCCCCCCCCGCCCCCGCCCCGCGTGGGGAGGGGGGAGTGCGGGCCCTCCTGTGCGAATCCAGCCCAGCCAGCACTCTGGCCTTGTGAGCAGAGCCCAGCCAGACCCCTGCGCCCTCCTCCCCGCAGCCGGCTCCGGGGGCCTGGTGGGCCCACGGCTGAGGAAGGTACGAGGGCTTCCTGCCCAGGGCCTGGCCCCTGTGTTGCTCACCAGGCAGCCCTGATCATCGTCAGAATAAAATGAGACTTGAGCCGCTGTGTCCGTGGATAGATTGCGGGAACATTCTGAACCTGACGGGCTTCCCCCTGGCCGACCACCACATGCTGGGAGGGAGGAGGCTGCCAGCGCGCCCCCTGGGCCCTCCTAAGCAGGGTCGTGGTGCCCCCTCTTCAAAAGGAGCTAGAGCAGGTGGTTTTGTGAAGGTGACCCCCGCCCCCCGTCCCCCCCACCACAAGCTGGCCCCACCCCTAGCCAGCAGCCAAAGAGCAAATCTTCAGCCTCCTTCCCAAGTGCCCGCCTGACCCCTGGGCATGCCTGCCACCCCCAGTGGAAGAAAGTATTACAGGATGACCGTGGCCCCAGGCCCTGGCAGGGAGCCCCACCGAGGGTGGAGGATGGCGCTCCGCACTCCTCCCGGGGAGGACGAGCAAGGGCAGCCCTGCCCGCCCCCAGTGACCACAACTCACCAGGCACTTCCGAGTTCGTTTATAAAAAACAATGACGAGGGCCTCCCTGGTGGCGCAGTGGTTGAGAGTCCGCCTGCCGATGCAGGGGACACGGGTTC